AAATAATTTTGAAATAATTCTTTTATATTATATTTTCATAAAATTTTATTTTATATTTAAATAATTAATTTTTTATTCATTTAAAATTCATAATACTACACACGATTTACTTCTTCAATAATATATAAAAATTATATACAAAAATATGTCCCTATATCACCTCCCTTTTAACATACGAACACCTCATCGCCACTTCTTCCAACACCAGCGCCGGCTCTCACCAATTCCGCCACGCAGACCTTCATGTTACTTCCCACAAGGAACATTCCAAAATCATGTCCGTTATTCCCTTCATATCACCCTCCTTCCATCATGCGAACCTTAGCTCTGGGTGGTTCTAACAAAGTAGTAAGTTTAAAACTGATGCAACTTCTTACTTTTCCATTACCATCCCCATCTTTAAATCCTTTCTGCGTTTGAGAAACTTCTAATGTGTAGCCAGTAATTGACATTAAAAGAGAAATATAAATTGTTATAAAAGTTGATGGTTTGTTTTGTTCCTACACTCGTGAACTTCCTTCTATGCCTGATGCATTCGTATGAGATTTTGAAATGGCCAAGTCATGGGCTGCTGTGAATTGCTTATTTAGTGTATGTTTTGTGTGATTTTCTTTTTCCAATAAGTATTTCTAAAACCAACTCTTTGTTGCTCTATACTATCTCATGTGAAGTCCAATCCGATCTCTCATCGAGTCAGGATTTGATGCTAACTATGGATCTGACGTGAGGCTTTATTATGGAGCTAGAAACCTTCAGAGAATGGCTTATCATCAGGTTTGCTTGCGTATATTTTTGCCGTTACAATTTTATGTTTTCTTAAATTAGCAACTACTCTATGATTGACTAGAGTTCATTTTGATGCTTTTGTTTGTTTCTATCATGAGATAGATTTAAAGATTGGGAATCTTCTGGTGTTGAGCTTATGCCAGTATTATCACAGCCAGATAGTGGTTGAACAGGTGAAAGAGGCTACGTACAGCTAGGGTGCTGTGTGAACATAGTTGCATGGAGATTTTTTAGCCCATTAAGAATCAAGTTATATCATGCTACCATGGGTTTTGCAGACTGCTTTTGCTAAGGCCAAGCAAATCAATAGCCCCTAGGGCACTGTTTTTGTGCTTTGTGGGCAAAAACAGATGACTGAGGTACGTTGCAGTCTCTTTTTAACTTAACTATTTTTCACTGATTCTTCTCAAGGAAATCTGGCTAGCAATCTGTGAGATTGTTATCATTGATTTGGATTCAGCTTTCCCATAGCAATGGACGCGCCATACCTTTTACTCACTAATAGTCCACAATTAATAATTGTAGTAATTATTGCAATCATCTCTGTACATCTGAACTCAAAAGTGGCCCAACTTTCTGAGTTGTTGGATGCTTATTAAGCAGACTCAAAATCTATTTCACAGGTCCTTAAGGCTTAGTTCAGATTACCAGCTTGGCAGCATATGATACATGCACAAGGATTATGGTCATATTGTTTAGATGGGTTGATAATCTTCGACTTTATGCTGAATTTTAAAGTAGATAGCAATGTTTCTTAGTTGACTGGGCAGAATGAACCTGTTGCATATTTGTGTGATGAATTTGTGATTAATAAGGCTACCGACCAGATATTTCAAGTAAATATTATTGCTAATTACTGCATGAATAACATATCTTTTCTTGTTTCACAGGTACTTACTTCAATACTTGTAGCGGATGGAGTTTCAAGGGAGAAGATCCTAAAGAACTTCTGACAGAGAAGATTCAAACAAGATTCATATTATTTATTTGTTGGATAATATGAGTATCCAGCGCTTTGACACGACAAGAAGATTCATATTGTTGTATTATTGCTGAGGAGTTGATAATTATTCTTTGGTTTTTCCACAGCTAAGAATCAAGTGTGTTGGCTAATAAAATCAATTTTGGGATTTTGGGGGAATTATTTGTATCATTGTATGTTTCTTGCGGACAATAGCTAAATTATATAGCATTCGTGCTTTGAGTTTGAAAGAGGAGAGGTTTAGCATTGGATATCGTCTGTGGAGGGTAACTGTTGTCTAACTTGTGTTGCCTATCTCTTCGTTTTAATTTTCAACTTAGTGAATTTACTCCATGCAGCCTTAGATATAGTCACTTCATTTGGCAGCATCTATTTTGCCATGGGTGGTGGCTCTGGGATGCAGTGCTTCATGAATTCAGTTTTGATCTGCCAAAGAAGTGCGGGATGGGAACACAATCAGCTCTTGGTTTTGCTCAAATTTGAATGGAGAAGCTCCTCAATTATGCAGAAACAGCTGAACTAGCTGCATGCCTTTTTTTCCCTATTTCAAGCCTTCCACCAGCCAGTCGGATTTATACCCGCTGTGTCTAGCGTCTTCAAAACCAAGGTTAGTTCGATTGAGACTAGGCAGAAAGATCATGAATGTTGATAATGTCCTTTATGGAAAAGATAATGGTTTTAACCAGGCCATTGAGTTGCCTGCAGATATCCTGCATGAAGATGTTAAATTCATAGACCACCCAGGTATTCTTGTGGTCTGGTAGATGTCATAATCAAAGCTTTTGGAAAGAGTTGGACGTTGCTAGGTAGACGCTGGAAAACAGCATTACCGGTGAGGTCCGGGGTTGCTGCCATCAATGATAAACCAGTGAGAACAACTTTCCTACTACAGCTAACTCTGCAGTGCAGGCAGTTTGGTTGGCAATATATTTTGTTCTCAGAAAATAGAAGAGAAATGTATTCTATTTTAAATTGAAAATATCATCAGAAACTTTACCACTGGAAAGAAGAAGTAAAGAGCCATAAAATTTCATACTAAACATAGTCTCCCACAATTCTGGAACAGTCACAGCTAATTGTCTTCATAAAAGCTTTTATTATAACCCCGCCAATCAACTAGAAATCAACCAGAAGCAATCATATTGGTCAAGCATGTAAAGAGTCCAGCAATTTTGCCCGTCCTAGGCACCATTGCTGCCGTTCTCTATCAGGTATTTCTCTGTGCTATCTTCACGACGCTTTCCATTGGGTTCAGCTGAATTCTCAAGCAAATAATTCTTCCCTTCCAACTGATGTTGCTCATTGTTATCCTTGTCTTGGCGATAGCGATCTTTGTGGTGATGATGGTGGTGACTATGACTGCTTCTGGGCCTTAGTCCTCTATCTGCTTCATCATGACTGTCAGCAGATAACTTCCCTGAAGATCTGCCCATTTGCTCATGTTTGTGAACATCAGAATCAGATGAGCTTAAGCCAATGCTATGTGATTGCCAATGATGCTTGCAGTGCTTTCCATGGTTTTTCCTTCCAAGTGCACCCCTATCTTCATCGCTTGAAGACTCAGAACTACTAGACTCGTGTCGGTGACGTTTGTGGTGCCTTGCATGATGCCTCTTCCGAATTCTACCATCATTCTCATCACTCAACGAATCAGAAGCACTAGATTCTGTGCTCCTATGGTGCTTGTGGTGCTTTGCATGCCTTCTTTTGACTCCATCCTCCTCGTCACTTGAAGAATCAGAAGCAGAAACTGACCTTGAGTCATGATGCTTGCGTTTGTGGTTTCGCTTCTTCCTCCTCTCTTCTTCAGAATCACTCTCACATTCATCACTGCTATCATCAGATGATGTTCGTCTCTTTGGCTTTCTCTTGGATTTCTTCTCCCTTTTCTTCGCATTGTCATCTGAATTGGAGTGGTGATGCTTCCTGTGCTTTTTGTGGGATCTTTTCCTTCTCTTTCTCTCCCCTTCACTGCTATCACTCTCACTATCCGACTCTGACATGGATCTTCTTTTATGCTTTGCAGTCTTTGATTTCCTCTCTTTGGCCTCAGCATCCGCCCTTGCCTTTGCTCCAGCTTCCAGCTTCTGCTCCCATTTTAAACGGGCTTCTTTTTTCTCCAAAGCTCTCTTCTTTTTCTCTTCCACCAGTTGAATGAATTTCTTGCAGTCCATTTACAAAAGAGAACCAACTCAATACCTGCATTTTGGCATGATGATGACCAGAAGTACATCTCACAGAAGAGAAAAAACAATGTTAGTTCTTCCTTCAACAATAACAACCACATTGTAACTAAGAGAACATCAATGGATTGGAAATTCCATTCTATGCTTGACAAGCCAAAGATCTAATCTTTTATCTTTATATTGATTAGCACAAGAAAAACAAAGTCAATGTAATGTCATTGAAATATAACTCTTTGACACCATGTAAAAACTTAACTAGTGGCAATAATTATGGCATCAGAAGAAAGGATAAACAATGTAGTTTTATTATACCATAAATAAATATTACAATCAAAATATAGAACACACTTCTTTTTCCTCACAAGTGATGAATGTTAAATTGTGTAGAACATAGTAACGCTAGTAGTTCAGTACTTTGAATCAGGAACAGAGCTCAGACTATATTACCAGTACTTTAGTAGTTCGGTTGTCCACCAAAAGGATAATGGTAAGTGAATGTAATTGGAACCAGGTTCAGACATATGAAACCCTAGAACTAGAAGTATACCATAATCACTTTGCCAACACATAAAATCAATTCATAGTGTCATTAAAATATTAGAACATGCATGAATGGATGCTAGAAGACGATGAAGACATGAAATTTGATTCAACTTTCCTACCTTATGCAGACAGAAGAGTAGGACAATCTGTTATCCGAGACCCAGAAAAGCCTTCCTCTAGGCCACCAAAGACAAATCTGAAAGAAGAAAAGTGGCCTCAGACCAGCACTACAAACTTACAACTAAACTGTCAAATTACAAAGATAACCAAGATGAGAGATGACTATCATGCCAATTGCTAAAAATACTTCATGTTTATCTTAATCTGAATATTCAGACCCAATTCACAACATCCAACAAGGACAAGCACACATTTACCTAATAACAATACAATCATAATTTTTTTTTAAAAAATATTCCCTTTGAAGATTTATGATTTTCCAGAATCAAGCCTCAACAAATAAGTCCATATCAAGAACACATAATGAAAACTACCAAGAAATAATTATTGGAACAAATCCCTAAAATTCTGACTAAATCGATAAGAACTCATACGAAGCCGCCAAGAAATAATTTTTCGCCTAAAGCTATGACTACCTCGATATCTGAACCAAAAACCCTAAAGAAAACTCAGTATGAGAGAAAGCAACAAAACCCAACAAGGTAAATACGTTGCAAATTATCCTCCATGAAAGTAGAGGAGAAAGAAAGCATACCTGAATTTTGAGGGACTTGAGAAGGATGAGGAGGAGACTGACGACGAAGGAGAGCAGATCGCAAAGAGAAAGATTAGGGCTTGACTTCTGAGCTTTGAAAGTCATTGGAGAACCGCCTGGTGAGTGACTATATAGGCGAACGCGGCACGCCCCATACACGTTAGCTCGTGCGATGCGATACGTGTGCGGCCTTTCTTCCGGTTCAAACAAGGCATTCCGCTTTCGGCTATGGTCGGTGGCTCGGTTCCAACAAATTAACGTGTATTTCGAGAGCCCAGGCTTTTTTTTTTCTTTTTTTAATTTCAACTCCAAATATCTAATAGGATCATTAGTCCTAATCAAAACATACATCATTTATCATAATGTATTATTACATTGAGTGAAGTTTTGAATTAAAATATCAAAAAATTATTAAGTCAAACAAATAATAATTAATGAAATTTCTTATGAGGTAAAAAAATATCAATAAGTTACAAACTATCAAATTCAAACTCCATTTTAGCCTTAGAAATGCCAATAGACACACCATCGTATTAATGTTTAAGGTTCAACCACGAAAGTAAATAAAAAATTGCTCATAATACTTAAATACATAAATATAAATAGAAGATTATCAACAACTCATATCTTTTTTTTTTTTATGATGTCATTAACAACTCATGTCTTTTGCTCTCTGTTTTATTGGGTTTAGTGACTTTTAAGATTAAGTGTTCTTAGCCTCTTATTTTATCTATTAAGATTTAATTACATAAGGCTACACAATATTTGTTTTTTGAGTGTAAAATAAAATTATAATAAAGTGCTTGTATTAACAAAGAGAGCAACAATATATGTTAATAAGTATAAAGAATATTATGACTATGACATTTTTTCTTTTTGTATTTTCAAAACTTGCTTATATCATATTTTAGCTTACATTTTCCACTTTAGCACGTGAATAATAATTTGGTCAATCCCTATTGGTTTACAATGAAGCCTATACTTGGATAAAGATTAGTAAAGGAAAGGAAAGGAAAGGAAGGGGAGAGGAAGGAAAGGGAGGAGAAGTAAAAGAAAGGAAATATTTCATATTAATTTTGTTTAGTTAGATAAAAGTGAAAA